TCATGTCAAAAGGGATTTATTAACTTTTTAATAAATTTCTTTGTTTTGTTTAAAAGGAAACTCTGGTGAATTAAATTTAGATATATATAACTGAAAAAACATATTTTAATACTTGTGTTATACCAAAAAACTGACTGTAATTTCTAAACTTTCAAGTAGATCAATTCTGACGTTGACTAACCAAAATTTCATTCTCTGTAAAACAATACAAACCTTACGTGTAAATATCGAAACAAAAAATGGAACCCAAACGTATGTCGCAGCAAATAAAAAGTGAAAATAAAACTAGGTATTTTACTAGTGAATATTTCCACTTTGAACGCTTTTATTCACGGAGTAGATGGAGGTATTTTGGGTGTCATGAACAAAAGAAACAATTATTTTACGTTTTTGCATTGTTTCTGTTAAAAATTCGTAGCTCTTTTCAAACGTAAACAAGAGTTTAAAACAGATATGATCGATAAAATATTGCTTACGAAATAAATAATATTACTATTACATTTACTTTAACAATAATGGCAAGGAATTTTACTTATCTGACTTTTTAAAAGTTAGTTCACTAACACCTTCGTGTGTACACAAAATGTAAATCCAATTCGAATATTTAAAACCGTGGAATTGTAAATATTACAAACTAATGTGTCACCTCCTTCACAATAAATAATAATAATGTAGTCCAAAGTTCCTATTGCTTCCCTGTTGTTATTTCCAACATTTCCCTCGTGTAATAGTTAAAACGTAAATTACCAGCTCGAGAAATGAAATTCGCGCGGCGCCATTCTCGTTTCCTTCTTCCGTCGCGCAAATATACGAACCGGGAGATCCGAAAAATCCCGGAACGTTTCAATTATCCCAACAGCGGATCGCGGGTAGATCTGATTTTACGGTTAGAGTCTCTAATAAAATCATTAAACCACTGGCCAGCAATCGCAAAAAGACTCGAAATCACGACTAACTGGTCGTCGTAGCGACGCTATCCGCGGAATTCACTCCAGAATCAACCCCTGAACCCATTATCAGGAGAGCAGGAGGGTAGAAAATGTCGACTTAACGCGGAATATATGAACCCCTCTGCGTTCCCCTGCAACGGAATTGGTCATATCGTAGGATTTCTCGCGCAGCAATGCCGTTGATTAGTCGTCGGTGGTTGGCGGGGAAAACGTGGAAATAGAAAGAAGGAGGAAAAGAAAGATGTTCCCTTTCCAACATATGGAGGAAGAAAATGCGGGACCGAATAATGGAGCGTGGCGAAGAGTAGCGGATGCGGTATATACGAGCTTCTCCTGAGGGAGGGTGGAAGAATCGGAGAAGGATGAGTCAAACCTGACAGGGAGTTACGCTCTCTGACGAAGGAGTTCGTGCGTAGTTATTATTTGTCGTTGAATGACGGGAATCTTCCATTGAACAATTTAATAAATTCCAAGCGAATATTTGAATATACGATCATCGTCATTCCAGTACTATTAATTGAATATATTCGCACATCATTATTCGAATTCCATTATTAGAATATTTCAAGAATCCACAGCGATTTGTAGCGAAAATTAATGTGTAAGTCATCGTATTCGTTATAAAACGTAGCGAAACGTATCCCATTCCTTTTACACGTCGTTTATTTCACGAGAAGCCTGCCAGGCGCTGGTAACGTTCACCGTCATGTATAATTGATAGTGTAGAAATAACAGACGGCTCGAAATAATCATGACACATTGAGATTGTTCGTGTCATGGCAACGCAAGATCCATATTGTGTTGGATCTAAAGGAACAAAAGGACATCCAGCTAATTGTTAGAGTCTGACGAGAGGGATGAAAACGTTGGAGTCAAAGAAAGCGAAAGACAGGGATAGAATTTCATCAGATTTCTATGACACAGATGATATATATTTTTCGCTCGGTTGGAAGAATGGTCGCATCGACTGCAGTCCCTGCACATTTAGACCGATTTTTCTACAATTATTGATCGCCCCAATGCCATGAAAATGTTCACAATGGAATATTGAAGTGAACATCGTGCTATAGCGGATATATTGTGAATACGCTCGGAATTTCGATGCGGTGATATAACTCGGTGATTCGATACCAGTCTGCGATGGAGGAACATGCAAATGGTATTTTAAATAAACTTTGCAAAGCGAGGGAAAATGTCATTATCGGTACGTCGAATTTCAGAAATACTTTTCAACGATAGACTATCGTATTTTTAAATATTTTGTGGGAAGCACTTCAATTTTCATTGATGTTTAAGAACTAGAGAAAAAATAGAATAGAAGAACTGTCTTTCCATATATTCGTTTGGTTAATTTTATTTCGAATTCATTTATACATTAAGAGATTGGAATATATGTAACTTGTGTTAAAATTTGAAGAAAAATAAATTTTTATTAACATCCTACTAGAGAATAGAGGAAAATATTCATTTGTTAATGAACAAACTTCCACTGGATGATTTTTTGTAACAGAATGAGGATCAAAGGCGCCATTAAAATGTGATACGAATAATCACGTCGCACTCGAATTTTTAAATATTTGCTTTAAATGCTGCTCGCTTTTCAATCTGCAGTACAAAGCTTTTAATATGCTGTGTGTCGAATGTTTAACTTCAACGCGATCATAGCGATACGGTAAAGCTGGAATTTATTTCTGTACTCGATGCACTGTTGGAAAATATAAAATTGAATTACTAAAGCTGTAATTGCGACATACTTAATTCCAGAATATTAACAGAATATTTTGTCGTCGCAGATAACTCGTGATTTACTATCTTTGAAATTAGAAAGCGTTATAATAGGAAAAAGTAACTTTAAAGTGAGATTGATTGAGAAAAAAGGTTTACTTTGTCACGTATAAAGAATGGAGAAAATGCATGGCTACTCGTGGCAATTTGCTTCTAGAAAACAGGATAATTATTTGGCTAATTAGGTCAGCATGTATTATGAGACTCTAGAATGTACAGATGCTACATTAGTGAGGCTTTAAGCACAATTAAATTTGTATCGTGCTACAAAGTATAAAATCATATTTTAAAAATATTAAGTACTGTTAATAAAACAACAATTACTATAAAATAATTGAATTAATCAAAAATTTGAATTCACGTGGAATTTTATACTACATATATTCAGCAGCCGAATGTCGAAAATGAAATATTAATTAATTAATTTATTTATGTATTTGATTTATGAATTGATGACTACAAAAACTCTTCGATCATAAGCAACAACTGTATCCAAAACACTCCACCGCAATGAACAATAATGAATAAATTAATAATATTAACTACTCTTCCGATTGCGTGATTTCATATTCAACAATCACAGCTATAATGAATTGTCAAATATTTGCATGATTTTAAGCTCAATGATTCCTTGAATTTATTGTCGTGCATTGTCCAATTAATTTAATTAATCAATGTGAAATATTCAAATTGTTCAGCGTGCCCCATAGTTTCGAATATACGGAAAGAATGTCGATACAAACATTAACCTCTTGTGTTATTATTTTTTATAATTCTAGAAAAAATGTTATAAAATCACTTATAAGTTTAATACCATTGCTCCGTTAAAATATATTTATTATCCACAGCGAAAGAATAGTACAGATCACTGCACTTAATATTGTTGCACTAAGCACCAAACGAACCCATTAAAACGAAGGAAAACAAATGCTTCCATTATACTTTCTCTCAATATCTACACGTTCATTGGCAACAAAACCACGTCTAACCAATAAATTCGAATCTCAAATCTCGTAATCGTGCTGGGCAACACGAAAACCAAAAAAGATTTCCCAACTTCGTAAATTTCCCGAAATTTCTCCAAGATCGTACGAACAATTAACAGGTTCTTTTTCTCTCAGACGGATTCAATAACGACCCCAGCGATAAATAATCCACTGAAATCTTCCAGAGCCAGCAAACCGTATCAATTAATGGTTATTCGATATCGTCGGCCGTAAAAATTCAGTATCAAGCGGTATTTTCGCGACGGTTATGTCCCCGCGGGATTAATTAAATATAGTTATCCGATGGTAAAGTCTCCGTAACCGCGTGGTGATTCCATATCGAAGGAGGGTCGAAGTTTCGTTACACAGGAATCAGCGCGAGAGAAGTTACTTTACAATGGAGCACCGTGTACTGGATGCCCACGCGAAACGGTCCATTTCATTGCCCCGGGTTGTATAGCAGTACAGTCGTTAACGCAATGCGAAAACACGACCGTTTCCTAGTTTATTTCAGCTTTTAACGGAAACAACAACAGCAACAGCAATAATGCCGGCGTTCCGCTACATGTTCACCACATCGCCACTGTGTGATTTTCAACATCGAGGGCGAGTGAGAGAGAACGCGAAGAGATCGAGCCCTTCTATCACGCTAATCCCACGAGATTTCGAGGCTCTCACTACTGATTTCAAGCTGGATTATGGTCAGTGTTGAATGACCACTCGTTCCGAATAGGAATATCAGGTGCTCAGTAGATGTAATGCAAATTAACCACTTCCCTACCGCACTGGCGTCATTAGGGGATGCGGTTCGCACCAGATGAGACCATCTGGGGTGACGTAGAATTGCCTGTCTGGACAATTTTTCTGGAGTGCTTCGTCAGATATTTATTTATTTTTATACGAATATTTTTATTCAATGAGTACGCCTCTCATTAATTGCGGTAATGTTTTTGACTATGTACTGGTTCATCTTGGAATGCAAAGTATAATTGTTTAATTCGTGTGTAATTCAAGAAAAATAAATGTAAAAGTAACATTGCTTGCATAATATAAATGTCAATCGAAGTTTTAATTTATTTATACGTTGTGTAAATGTGTGACTCATAAAAGTGTGAAGAAAATAATCCATTCTTACTAAATATTTGTTGAACCAGAAACAATTAACTGTATTCTTTTGTGTATATTGTATTAATTTGTTTATCTTATTTTATTTTAGCATTGACAAGCAACTTTCTGGGACATACAATTAAAACAACATGGATAAGCAATAGCAACTCACTGTTCCTGTAGTTGTCTGAAATCGACGTATACTGCGTCCCATGGTGATGACCTGATATCTGCCCTAATACTTCCAGATTCCTCGATTGCCGTCCTGAAAAAGGTAAAAAGGAAACGGAACATTAATGACCGGGCCACGATGAATCGTAACGGTAAATTAGGTGCTCTTGCGGATAAAAGGAAGCTTCCGATGCTACAACGTTAATAGCGTTCTTCTTATTCGAACGGAAGATTTCCAACTTGGAATTTCAGAATACTTTAAACGAATCTTTGCTTCGATAAGAGACTCCTAATGAAACCAGCCGACATTTTTTTTTTATGAAGGATTTCTAGGTACCTCGCCGCAAACATTTCGGTCTGACGAATTCTCTGCAACGAAGGAAGGGAACCAATGTTGAATATCGATCGATTGAAAAGACCAATTAAGAGCTCTAACGCTGCATAATCAAGGGATTGGAGTTAATCATCGTGACCTGAATAAAAATGTTGATTGCCAGATGGTAACTCTACTGACAAATAAAATAATTAATAAATGCATTGGAGTATTGAGGAAATATAGTAATTCACATATTTCCAATAATTCAGAAAAACTTTGAGCAGTTTGTGATACGTGATTTGCGGAATAAGATTTGTAATTTGAATCATTTCTTACTTCGAGGACCAAGTTCAATTTATAACAGTTCCCACGCTGAACGTCATCATACTGTGATAAGTGAAATTTACACATCTACTAACGACTCGTTAAAAGAGACAGATTTATTTAGAATAATGAGGTACAGTTTCGGCTCAGCCATTCGACGCGCTAAAATGGTAATTTAAAGTTGGAAATGATGGCTACCTACTGTTGGGAGTTGAACAGTGTTTCGCTCTGACAACTGCTGAAAGTAATATTCATAACGAGGTCAGACGATAGGTTTTTTCCAAGCAAAAGTAAAAGAAATTACAGGTAGTACGCGAAACTGTTCTACGACTCGGCAACGACTAACTTTCTGTGATTTGTTTTTGCAAAATCCAATTGAACTTTTTGAAATATATTCAACAAACAAAGTAGTATAATGCTTCAATTCCTGACCAAATTCCAAGATGGCAAGGTATACTCAAAATATTTAAATGACTCTTTCAATTTGAAAGAGATTTTAATAAAAATTCTGAGATAATTTGAAACATTTTGAGAGGTAAATATATTGTAGAAATAATTGTTCCTTGAAAGTAATTTTGAGTTCCAACACCATCCCAATTTCAAAAATTATGAAACATGATTTTAAAACATACAATGCTTATGTGCCCTCGAAATGAAATTTGTAATAATATCTTCATTAAATGTCTTTATTATGCATACATGGAAGAGTGCACGTAAATATATATAAAAATAAAGTATTAGCAGAATAAACTCTACTCCAACTAATTTTTAGTGTTTCGAAATGTAAATTAGAGGAAAATTTCCGGTTAATTTAACTCTCAACCGAAATCAAATCGTGGTACTGGGGGCACGAGTGGATCGTTTAATTTTACAAAAATCACAGTGACCGCGTTCTAATTTCCAAATTGCACGAGCGAGAATCCTTTTCGTATTCAAAGCTGCAAAGTCAAAAATAAGCGGAGCCCGAGGTTCATTAACCGGGCACTTTTAGAAACTGAAGTATCTACTCGACTTTGAAGCATAACAACTGTCAGAGTTTGTACGTTCGCATTTGGCGTAATTCACTGAACGGAGTGCAATACTTACTAATAATCTCTGTGAAGAATTACGAATTTTTTTTCATGGAAGGGGCAGGCTCTCAACAACGTCACTTCGTTAAAAGGGAAAATGTTTCGTTAAATGAAAGAGCAAATCATTCTTCTTTTGCGTATTTTATGCATTGAGAAGTGGTGCTTTTATTTCTACAGCCAATAAACCGATTAACCAGTTCCTCGTTTCATTTAAAAATTCACTGAGAACTTTCTGACTACAAACACCGTTTATACACTGTACCGTTAGATAATCATTTTGAACTAATCAATCAATTTTGAGTGTAGTAGTTTGTTTACAGACGAAGTTTGAATATACTTCAGAATATCAGACGTAAATTGCAATTAACTAAAACTAAAAACCAACAACAAGAAAGCTTTGAGAACATTCACGCAAACGTTCAACCAGTGATGTTTCCCATCCTAAAATTTGAACACCCATAGAACTCGTATTACCCAAGAAACTCGGGGTTCAAAGTGTAATTCCTATTTCACGAAGTTACATTTAAATCAATAAGGACAAGATTATAAGTCTCCAATGGAAAAACTTTCTTCTTAATCGCTTCCATTTACGTGTCGGCAATTAGCAAAGTTTCTCGTATCGCATTATCATTTATCTCTGTCTCGTACATTTGTAATTACGAAACCTTAATAAAGGACAAAACGACTCTCGCGTTACTTTCGCGTATAAAAGTGAATCTTTAAATTATTATTGCGTTTTCCGCGTTTTACAGACAAAAACTAATCGTAACAAATCCCATTACATACACGTTACAGAGTTAGTTTTAAACAGACCTGTTTGGCTGTTTCCATAAATTAGTTTACCTGTTACATAATATTTGATATTGAGTTGATGGTAGGATTATGTGTTAAGTTTCTGAAATATCCGACTATATATTTAGCCATACACGTGTTCGTTACTGTGTACTGCGCCATGCAGTAATAGATGACGGATAGTCTCCCGCGCAACTACCTTGCGCATCGCGCGGTTGTCATTCCTCAGAGACGCTAGTATTCCTTACGTAGTGTAACACAAGATAATACGACATATAAAAACACGGACACGAGATGTATTGTTCTATCAATAATACATCTAGTTTCAACTTTAAGACCCATTATAATTTTTCATAATAATTCTTTAGCAAGGTTTTTCTTGATGTTGCTCAAGTGAAAAATATTGGCCCAACTTCTGATTATTTATTGGAAGTAAGCACGTTCTGTATTATACTGTACAGCTCATATAAGACGATGTTCTCGACGCTTGGAGTCTGAAAGCGAACGAAATTCGTTCGCTATACGTCTAACTGTCGCGAAATCGATCAGGGTCCTCCATCGCCGCGCAAATTGCTACGTCAGAGAAGCGTCGCAGTTCGAAAGTTCCGTTGAAATTCAAGAAACTCGAAACACCGTCGCGTGGGAGGAGGAAAAAGGGGTTGACGGAAACAATGTCGTTCGCGTTTACCTGTGTAGCTCGGTGGCCCGTATTTTTGCAGGGGCCTTTGTGCTCCTCGCTTTCAAATTTTGCAGCTACGCTTGAACTTGGGTAACTGAATTCTATTGGTCGCCGCGAGCCGTGCTCGCATTCACCCGGCCACCGAGACGCCATACTCTTAAGAAAGCTTTCATTGTTGGAATTCTAGCGCGAACTATATTTCCTCTTCTTTTCACCTGTTCGCCAGTTTCGCGTTCTCCGAGGTTGCGCGCACGCGCCCGTGCTCTCTTCTCGAAACGAAGGCCCGCCATTCTGCCAGGGGGGTGGCACGTTTATTTAGGACGTGGTCTCATCATGAAACGATAATATCACGGCCGACCAGGCAAGGATTAATGGAGCAATCTCGGCTGTGACCGATGTTATACGCAATCGGGAAACAGCTTCTGGCTTTTCATCGGCTCCTGGATGCATACAACGCGCGACGTGGAATTACCTGGCTTGCACGGACCGTACAATCTATTCAACACCCGTGAAATTTACTTTACTACTTATTGCTTGGTGTTTAGAGAACAATGGGACTGCGCCTCTGCACGCTGAACAGGCTGCAAGTGTTTATTTGCCGAGGAGTATCGCGATGTTTTATGCACACACTCCTTGTAAAAAGTGTATCCCATCAAACGTTTCTGCGTGACTCCAGCAAAAGTTATTTATGCATGCATCGGAGGTGGAATGCACGAGTATACGTGAAAGAAGTGGAATGGAAAATCTTTGTTTGGGCAAAGTATTAGAACAGTGTTAAATACTGTTCTAATAAATTTAGAACATTTCGAACATTTCTGTGCGTTGGTTCAATAATGTTTCAAAAAATAGCAAGTTGTCACAGGTGAGTTTATTAAAAAAAAAAAAAAAAGTACAACAATATAAGGGTGCCGATCGACGGCTGTCGGGTGTAAATTTATTATAAAACCATGAGTCACGCGGGACCCACATCGATTTGTCTTTCTCGCAAATTCGTATCGAGAAGCGGACCAGGATCTATCTATCAATGTTGCAGAAAGATGAAAAAGGTTGTTCCGAAGGGAAAAACGGGAACGACACGCGGAAGAGCGATGACGTAGTTGAAAAATTGATGTATCTTGTTAAATCGCCATTATAGCCGTTCCATACGAATTTCGTCGTAAATGTTGAACAATCCTTCATATCGACATTCATCTAGGGGAAAAACCCTTTCCTTGGATAAGTACCATCGTACAGTGATCGATGCCTGTTTTCTTCGAAATGCACCTATTGCCAATTATCGGCATACTTTATTATATTCTACTACGAATTGAAAAACGATTATAGAAATATAACAATTTATCAAGTTTGATTGCTTCATTCAGTAAAATTTTTTCAAATCTTTGTATGGTGCCCTATTTAATATTACTAAAAATAGAAAATAGAAAATATTCCCCTGGCTTAAGCGATTCACCTAATTGCTCGGCGTTCCCCAATATTAATCCGCGCGGTGTAATCAGAATCGCAACTTGCTTAAGATAATTTCGGAATATTGTTTATTTACTTTGTCTCGCCGAATGGCCAGCGACCACATGTAAATTCCCAGAGGATTGAAGGTCCCCGACCGGTACTGTGAACTTGTAGGAGGAAGCAGTATCGCCTAATACAGCCTTATACACCCAGTGGAGTATTTTACCCAAGTTGCTTCATTCTGGTCTGCTGCCACTTATCCGATAGGCTCTTTAACTAATTCAAGCGTCAGCGGCGCAATGCCGGAGGTAAAATTCAGTGGGAATTAAAAAAGAAAAACAGGAGAGGACAGAACTTGCGACGGGGGTGCCAACTCTAACGCTATACAGGGTGATTCGAGAAATTGGGACGTGCTGAAGCGTTAAGGGACGTAGATGCAAAGCATTGGGGACAGCAAACAATTTAAC